ATTGGGGGTTTTCCTACCATGCCGGGTGGGGTCACCTCCCATGCCTGGGGGTCACTTTACCAGGGCCTGGTGGGTCACCTACCACGCCGGGGGGTCCCCCTACCACCCCCTGGGGGGTCCCCCCCCCCATGCCTGGGGGGGTCACCTACCATGCCTGGGGGGTCCCCCTACCATCCCCTGGTGGGTATACCCCGCCTGGTGTGTCCCCTCCCAAAGCCGGGGGGTCCCCTCCACCCTGGGGGGGCCCAACCTTCCCCCCCTGGGGGGCCCCCTGTTTCCGCCTGGTGGGTCCCCTCCCAAAGGGCCTGGTGGGTCCCCTTTACCACGTGGTGGGGGTCCCCTACCACGCCTGGTGGGCCCACCTACCACCCCCGGGGGTGGGTCTTTACCATGCCGGGGGGCCCTCCCACGCCGGGTGGGTCACCCTTCCACGCCGGGTTTGGGCACCTACCACCCCTGGGGGGGTAAACCTACCCCCCGCCTCGGGGGCACCTCCATGCCGGTGGGTCACCTCCCCAATCCCTGGTGGGTCACCTCCCAAACCCTGGTGGGCCCCCTTTCCCACCCCTTTTGGGGGTCCCTACCACTCCTGGGGGTCACCTACCATGCCTGGGGGTCCCTACCATGCCTGGGGGGTTTTCCAACCAGCCGGGTTGGGTCACCTACCACGCCGGGTGGGTCACCTCCCAGCCTGGGGGTCCCTCCCAAACCCTGGGGGGTCACCTCCCACGCCTGGGGGGGTCACCTCCCACCCTGAGGGCCACCTCCCAACCCGGTGGGACCCCCACCACTCCTTTTGGGGTCCACCACCCCCCCTGGTGGGAAAACCTACCACCCCTGGGGGGTCCCCTACCCCCCCTGGTGGGGGTCACCTCCCCACCCCGGGTTTGGGAAACCACCTCCCACCCCTATTTGGTTACCTACCCCGCCTGGGGGGAAACCCCTACCACCCTGGGGGCCCATCACCCTTCCTGGGGGGGTTTCACCTCCCAAAGCATGGGGGGTCACCAACCACGCCTGGGGGTCCCCCTACCACGCCTGGGGGGTTTCACCCCCAAAGGGCCTGGTGGGTCCCCTTTCCCCAACCTGGGGGGTTTCCCCTACCACCCCTGGGGGCCCCCTACCACCCTGGGGGTCACCTCCCAGCCTGGTGGGCCCACCTCCCAACCCCGGGTGGGTCACCAAACCCGCCTGGGGGGTCCCCTACCACGCCTGGGGGACCTCCATCCCTGGTGTGCCCACCTCCCAAAGCCGGGTGGGCCCACCTACCACCCCCTGGGGGTCACCTCCCACCCGGGTTTTGGGCACCTCCCCCCCCCTTTTTTGGGGTACCCTTTACCACCCCCGGGGGTCCCCTCCCCAAGCTGGGGGGTCACCTACCACGGGGGGTGTGTCACCTACCCCCCTGGGGGGGGTTCCCCCTCCCACCCCTGGGGGTCACCTACCACCCCTGGGGGGGGCACCTGCCCCGCCTGGGGGTCACCTCCCACGCCGGGGGGGGTCACCCTACCACGCCTGGGGGGTTCACCTACCCGCCTGGTTGGGGTCCCCCTTTACCACGCTGGGGGGCCCCACCTACCCCGTTTGGTGGGTCACCAACCACGCCGGGGTGGGTCACCTACCACCCCGGTGGGTCACCTACCCCCTGGTGGGTCCCCTACCACGCCTGGGGGGGTCACCTCCCACGCCTGGGGGGTCCCCTACCACGCCTGGTGGGTCACCTACCACGCCTGGGGGGTTTTCACCTACCACGCCTGGGGGTCTACCACCATGGTGGGGGTAAACCTACCACGCCGGGGTGGGTCACCTCCAGCCAAGGGGGCCCACCTCCCACGCCTGGGGGGTTTCCTACCAACTCCTGGTGGGCACTCCCCACTCCTGGGGGGCCCCTACCCCCCGCCTGGGGATCCCCTTCCCTTTTTCCCGGGGGGCCCCCTCCCAACTCCTGGGGGGGCACCTCCCAAGCCGGGGGAATCCCCCTACCACCCTGGGGGGTCACCTCCCCCGCCTGGGGGGCCCACCTACCACCCCTGGGGGTCCCCTACCCGCCGGGGGGTCACCTACCCCCGGTGGGTCACCTCCCACGCCGGGTGGGTCCCCTACCACGCCTGGGGGGGTCCCTACCACCAGGGGCCTGGGGGGTCCCTACCACCCCTGGGGGTCACCTACCACCCCTGGGGGGTCCCCTTTACCCCGCCTAGTGGGTCCCTCCCCACCCCTGGGGGGCCCCCCTCCCACCCCTGGGGGGCCCCCCCCTACCCTCCTGGTGGGTCCCCTTTACCACGCCTGGTGGATCACCTACCTTTTCCTTTGGTGGGCCCCCCTACCACCCTTTGGTGGATCCCCCTTTACCACCCCTGGGGGTCCCCTCCCACCCCTGGTGGGTCCCCTCCCACCCCTGGTGGGTCCCCAAACCGCCCCTGGGGGGTAAACCAAACCCCGCCTGGTGGGCACCTACCACCCCGGGTTTGGGCCACCTACCACCCTTTGGTGGGTCATTTACCACGCCTGGGGGGTAAACCTACCACCCCTTGGGGGGGTCACCTCCCATGCCGGGTTTGGGCACCTACCACGTGGTGGGGTCACCTACCACCCCCTGGTGGGTCCCCTCCCACGCCTGGTGGGTCCCCTTACCACCCCTGGTGGGTCCCTTTCCCCAGCCTGGGGGGTCCCTTTTACCACCCCTGGTGGGTCCCTACCACCCCTGGGGGGGTCACCTCCCCCCCGGGGGGGTTTTCAAAAACCACCCCTGGGGGGTCACCTACCACCCTGGGGGGGTTCACCAAACACCCCCCCTTTTGGGTCACTTCCCTCCCTGGTGGGTCCTACCATCCCTGGAGGGTCCCCTACCACGCCTGGGGGCCCCAAATACCACGCCCTGGGGGGTCACCTCCCTTTCCTGGTGGGTCCCCACCATGCCGGGTGGGTCACCAAACCCACGCCTGGGGGGGTCACCCAACCCCTGGTGGGTCACCTCCCACCCCCTGGGGTCACCTCCCAGCCGGTGGTCACCTCCCCACCCCTGGTGGGTAATACCACGCCGGGTGGGTACCTACCCGCCTGGGGGGTCCCTCCCATGCCGGTGGGTCCCCCCATCCCGGGTGGGTCACCTACCACGCAGGGTTGGTCCCCTTTACCCCCTGGTGGGTCCCTCCCAACCCGGGGGGTCCCCCATCCCACGCCTTTTGGGGTCCCCTCCACCCCTGGTGGGTCCCTACCACGCTGGTGGGCACCTCCCAAACGCCTGGGGGGTAAAAACCATCCCTGGGGGTCACCTCCCATGCCTGGGGGGGCCCACCAACCACGCCTGGGGGGTCCCTCCCCCACCCCCTGGGGGGTTTCACCAAACCCACGCCTGGGGGGGGCCCCCTACCACGCCTGGTGGGTCACCTCCCCACGCCTGGTGGGTCCCTCCCCCCCTGGTGGGTCCCCTCCCAAACGCCGGGTGGTCACCTACCACGCCTGGTGGGTCACCCCCAAAAGCCTGGTGGGGTCCCCTTCCCAGGGCCGGGGGGGGTCCCCAAACCACGCCGGGTTTGGGTCCCCTCCCACCCCTGGTGGGTCACCTCCCCAGCCTGGGGGGCCACCTCCCCACGCCTTTTGGGTTCACCTCCCACGCCGGGGGGGCACCTACCATGCCTGGTGGGTCACCTACCACCCTTTTGGGTAAACCTACCACCCCGGGTGGGTCACCTACCATGGGTGGGGTTCCCCTACCACGCGTGGGGGGTCCCCTCCCAAAGCCGGGGTGGGTCACCTCCCCTCCTGGGGGTACCAAACCCCGCCTGGGGGTTTCCCCTACCAGGGCCTGGGGGGTTTTTCACCTCCCCACCCCCTGGTGGGCCCCTTTACCACGCCTGGGGGTCACCTCCCAGGGCCTTGGTGGGTCACCTACCCCCCGCCTGGTGGGCCCCTTTACCACCCTGGTGGGTCCCCAACCCCCCCTGGTGGGTACCTACCAAGCCTGGTGGGCCACCTCCCACCCCTGGGGGGTTTTCCCCTACCACCCCTGGTGGGTCACCTACCCCCGCCTGGGGGTACCTACCCACCCCCGGTTTGGTCACCTACCACGCCTGGTGGGTCACCTCCCCACGCCTGGTGGGTCCCCCTACCGGCCTGGTGGGTCACCTCCCAAGGGCCTGGGGGGTTTCACCAAACCACGCCGGGGGTTTCACTCCCATGCCGGTGGGGCACCTACCACCCCTGGGGGGTCACCTTTCCCCGCCTTTTGGGGCCCCTACCCCCCTTGGGGGGTTTCCCCCTCCCCACGCCTGGGGGGTCCCTCCCACGCCTGGGGGGGCCCCCACCCCAAAGGCCTTTTTGGGGGGTTTCCCTACCAATTGCCTGGGGGGTTTTCACCTACCACCCCTGGGGGTCCCTACCACGCCGGGGGGGGTCACCTACCATGCCTGGGGGCAAAAAACCACCCCTGGTGGGTCCCCCCAACCACCCCTGGGGGGGTCCCTTTCCCCCCCTGGTGGGTCACCTACCACCCTGGGGGGTCCCCCTACCACGCCGGGTGGGTCACCTCCCACCCTGGGGGTCAAAAAACCACCCTGGGGGGGGTCCCCTTTACCATGCCGGGTGGGTCACTACCACGCCGGGGTGGTACCTCCCCGCCTGGGGGGTCCCCTCCCACTCCGGGGGTCACCTACCATGCCTGGGGGGTTTCCCCCTACCCCCGCCTGGTTTTTTTCACCAACCACCCCTGGGGGGCATACCACGCCTGGTGGGTCACCTACCACGCCTGGTGGGTCACCTACCACTCCTGGTGGGTCACCTACCACGCCTGGTGGGTCACCTACCACGCCTGGTGGGTCACCTACCACGCCTGGTGGGTCACCTACCACGCCTGGTGGGTCACCTACCACGCCTGGTGGGTCACCTACCACGCCTGGTGGGTCACCTACCACGCCTGGTGGGTCACCTACCACGCCTACGACACTCACAGTTCAACAATCAATTTTTAATTTTATTTATGTAGATAAAAATTATTCACAAGTTAAAAGAAAATTTATTGGAAATTTACCTACCATTATATAACTTTTTTATTAATACATATAAACAAGAGTGGCATAATCAAGAGCTCGGCCGTCAAGAGTTGTAAGAGCCACCAGCCCGGGAATTTAGTTAACGATGATTAAGAGTCTCGTCAGGAAACACTTGTTCTGTTTCCTGTTCAATCTTACTTTAATATAGGTAAGAGTCAGTAATGTTTATTTTTAAAGTGGAATATCGGAAAGTCAGTGAAAAGTCTCGCCCAGATGAGCAAAAGTTAGTGTCTGTGGGAGATGACGTGACTAAGACCCCCGTCAGGAAACACTTGTCCTGTGAGAGAATGTGTGAGACTGGAACCATGGTAGGTCCGTCATGACAACTCTAACCTGACCTGGGTCTTATGTTGTGATGTTCTTATGTTAACTGAATTACTCTCTAAATAGATGTTACGATGACTGACAAGACGTGACACAGTGGCTCCTGGCTGCTGACACCTAGTGACTCCTGATTGCTGACACTCAGGTGCTCTTGACTGCTGACACTGAGGTTCCTGACTGCTAACAGGGGCTCTTGACTGCTGACACTCACGGACCCCTGACTGCTGACACTCAGTGAATGTTGACTGCTGACACTCAGTGGATGCTGACTGCTGACACTCGGGGACACCTGACTACCGACATTCAGGGACTCCTGACTACTGATACACTCAGGGGCTCCTGACGTCCACCCTGATACCTTTCACACCACTGCTGTCACCAGTGTAGGCTGACCCAGTAGCAAAGGAAGTGCCATCAGCGCCACCGTAGCCGCCGCCGCTGCCACCAACCTGGAAGCTGCCACGGCCGCCGCCGCTGCCACCGCCATGGAAGGCAGCACCCGAACCTGAACAGGTGACTCCAGGTTTGTTTGTCAGACACCCGCCACCACCGCCACTCAAGCCGCCACCTGAGCCTTTTCCTCCTGAACCACCACGAAATCCGCTACCTGAACCCCTTCCAAATCCACCTGAATTACCACCAAGTCCACTTCCAAATCCACCACCCAAACCACCACCAAATCCACCACCCAAACCACCACCAAATCCACCACCCGAACCACCGCCAAATCCACCACCTGAACCACCGCCAAATCCACCACCTGAACCACCGCCAAATCCACCACCTGACCCAAGACCAAATCCACCACCAAATCCACCACCTGAACCACCACCAAATCCACCACCCGTACCTGATCCATCACCTGTACCTGATCCACCTTCTGTACTTGATCCACCACCAAATCCACCTCCTGTACCTGATCCACCTCCTGCACCTGATCCACCTCCTGAACCTGATCCACTACCAAATCCACCTCCTGAACCTGATCCACTACCAAATCCACCTCCTGAACCTGATCCACCTCCAGTACCTGATCCACCACCAAATCCACCTGTACCTGATCCACCACCAAATCCACCTCCTGCACCTGATCCACCTCCTGAACCTGATCCACTACCAAATCCACCTCCTGAACCTGATCCACTACCAAATCCACCTCCTGAACCTGATCCACTACCAAATCCACCTCCTGAACCTGATCCACTACCAAATCCACCTCCTGAACCTGATCCACCACCAAATCCACCTCCTGCACCTGATCCACCTCCTGTACCTGATGAACCTCCTGTACCTGATCCACCACCAAATCCACCTCCTGCACCTGATCCACCTCCAGTACCTGATCCACCTCCTATACCTGATCCACCACCAAATCCACCTCCTGTACCTGATCCACCTCCTATACCTGATCCACCACCAAATCCACCTCCTGTACCTGATCCACCACCAAATCCACCTCCTGCACCTGATCCACCTCCTGTACCTGATGCACCTCCTGTACCTGATCCACCACCAAATCCAGCTCCTGCACCTGATCCACCTCCAGTACCTGATCCACCTCCTGAACCTGATCCACCTCCTGAACCTGATCCACCACCAAATCCACCTCCTGTTCCTGATCCACCACCAAATCCACCTCCTGTACCTGATCCATCACCAAATCCACCTCCTGTACCTGATCCACCACCAAATCCACCTCCTGCACCTGATCCACCTCCTGTACCTGATGCACCTCCTGTACCTGATCCACCACCAAATCCACCTCCTGTACCTGATCCACCACCAAATCCACCTCCTGTTCCTGATCCACCACCAAATCCACCTCCTGTACCTGATCCACCACTCCAGTTACCTGATCCACCTCCTGTACCTGATCCACCACCAAATCCACCTCCTGTACCTGATCCACCACCAAATCCACCTCCTGCACCTGATCCACCTCCTGTACCTGATGCACCTCCTGTACCTGATCCACCACCAAATCCACCTCCTGTACCTGATCCACCACCAAATCCAACTCCTGCACCTGATCCACCTCCAGTACCTGATCCACCTCCTGAACCTGATCCACCTCCTGAGCCTGATCCACCACCAAATCCACCTCCTGTTCCTGATCCACCACCAAATCCACCTCCTGTACCTGATCCACTTCCTGCACCTGAGCCACCACCAAGTCCACCTCCAGTACCTGATCCACCTCCTGTACCTGATCCACCACCAAATCCACCTCCTGCACCTGATCCACCTCCTGATCCTGATCCACCACCAAATCCACCTCCTGTACCTGATCCACCACTAAATCCACCTCCTGCACCTGATCCACCACCTGCACCTGATCCACCTCCTGATCCTGACCCACCACCTGTACCTGATCCACCACCAAATCCACCTCCTGAACCTGATCCACCTTCTGCACCTGATCCACCACCAAATCCACCTCCTGCACCTGATCCACCACCAAATCCACCTCCTGTACCTGATCCACCACCTGCACCTGATCCACCACCATATCCACCACCTGAACCTACTCCCCCACCTGATCCTGTTCCACTACCTGAACCTTCTCCACCGCCTGAACCTGCTCCACCCCATGAAGCACTTAAGGATCCAGAGGCACTTCCTGATTGTGGTCTACCACTACTGAAGGATCCACTTGCTGAGTTGGACCCGGATCCAGAGCTGGTGTGTGATCCAGAAGCACTTGCGGATCCTGATCCATCTGAACCACTGAAGGAGAAGGACCCGCTGATGGAACCGCTTGAGGGGACCTTGGCAGCGAGCTGACACAATGGACAGTACTTCCTGCTGGAGTGTCTGACGGGTCTCCTGTGGGAGGCCTCAGCCACCGCCGCCAGTGACCTTCCAGCTCCATGACCTCCATAATTAACTAGTCCTGGTTTTCTTCCTGTTCCTCTTGTAGGTGAGCGGTGGAGAAGGTGACTTCTGTCGTCTTCTCTTGAGTTATCACTGTGCTCTCTAGAGAAGTCTCTCTTGTGTCTGCCTTGGTCAGACTCAGCGAAGCCATCAAATGTTCCAGCAGAGTTGAGTGTGGCAGGAAGACAGAGGTGAGTGAGTGTGCCCGCTACCAGCAGCAGTATAACATACGCGTGCATGACTGCTCTCTGAAATGAGATCACGTTGTATAATTTATCCCTAATTACAGAAGAAGACCGCTCACTTATACCGTAACTGGAACAATTCACAACTAATCAGGAGAGATGGACACTAGACAAGTTTCGATCCATTCTGGGTACTGGATTTGGAAATGGTCCAGCACGGGCCAGGATCCAATTTATTATTCACATAAATATTATTAGTCACATATAAATACCAGGAAACTGATGCCAAGAATAATACAAATATCTATAAATGACATTAATTTGTGTTACATTTGATGAATGAGTTTTTATCTTTAATTAAAATATAATTTACTGTGAAGAAGAAACTGACACATAATGAGAAGTATCAGAGACAGAACTAACGTTGCATTCTTGTAAACAATGTGCGGTTAGCGCTTAGTGTTGATTGTAATAATAGTAATCAAGATTTAGTGATATTTTAGCCTCTCCCAGCCTCTGGCGAAGCTGGTAGTGCAGTGGTTGATGGTAGTGACTGGTAGTGACGTGGTTGATGGTAGTGACTGGTAGTGTCGTGCTTGATGGTAGTTACTGGTAGTGCAGTGGTTGATGGTAGTGACTGGTAGTGTCGTGCTTGATGATAGAGACTGTTAATGTCGTTGTTGACGGTTGGTAGTGTCGGGGTTGATGGTAGTTACTGGTAGTGCCGTGGTTGATGGTAGTGATTGGAAGTGTCGTGGTTGGTGGCAGTAACTGGTAGTGTCGTGGTAGATGGCAGTGACTTGTAGTGTCATGGTTGATGGTAGTGACGGGTAGTGTCGTTGCTGATGGTTGGTAGTGTCGTGGTTGATGGTAGTTACTGGTAGCGTCGTGGTTGATGGTAGTTACTGGTAGTGCAGCGGTTGATGGTAGTGACTGGAAGTGTCGTGGTCGATGGTACTTACTGGTAGTGCCGTGGATGATAGTAGTGAATAGTGTCAGGGTTGATGGTAGTTACTAGTGGTGCAGTGGTTGATGGTAGTGACTGGTAGTGTCGTGGTTGATGGTTGGTAGTGTCGTAGTTAATGATAGTTACTGGTAGTTCCGTTGTTGATGGTAGTGCTGTGGTGAGTGGTAGTGACTGTTAGTGTCGTGGTTGATGGTAGTGACTGATAGTGCTGTTGTTGATGGTTGGTAGTGCCGTGGTTAATGGTAGTGACTGGTAGTGTCGTGGTTGATGGTAATGAATGGTAGTATCGTGGTTGATGGTTATGACTGGTAGCGTCGTAGTTGATGGTAGTGACTGGTAGTGTCGTAGATGATGGCAGTGACTGATAGTGTCATGGTTGACGGTAGTGCCTGGCAGTGTCACGGTTGATGGTAGTGATTCGTAGAGTCGTTGTTGATGGTTAGTAGTGTCGTGGTTGATGGCAGTGACTGGTAGTGTCTTGGTTGATGGCAGTGACTGGTACTGTCGTGGTTGATGGTAGTGCCTGGTAGTGTCGTGGTTGACGGTAGTGATTGGTAGTGTCGTAGTTGATGGAAGTGACTGGTAGTGTAAAGGTTGATGATAGTGACTGGTAGTGTCGTTGTTGATTGTTGGTAGTGTCGTGGTTGATTTTAGTTACTGGTAGTGTCGTGGTAGATGGTAGTAAATGGTAGTATCTTGGTTGATGGTAGTGACTGGTAGTGCCGCAGTTGATGGTAGTTACGGGTAGTGTTGTGAATGACGGTAGTTATTGGTAGTGTCTTAGTCGATGGTATTGACTGGTAGTGTCGTGGTTGATGGTAGTGACTGGTAATGTCGTGGTTGATGGTAGTGACTGGTAGTGTCTTGGTAGATGGTAGTGACTGGTACTGTTGTGGTTGATGCTAGTGGCTGGTAGTGTCATGGCTGATGGTAGTGACTGGTAGTGCCGTGGTTGCTGATATTGACTGGTAGTGTCGTCGTTGATGGCAGTGACTGATAGTGTCGTGGCTGATGGTAGTGACTGGTAGTAACGTGGGTGATGGTAGTGACTGGTAGTGTCATGGTGATGGCAGTGACTGGTAATGTCATGGTTGATGATAGTGCCTGGTAGTGTCGTTGGTAATGTCGTGGTTGGTAATGTCGTGGATGTTGTTAGTTACTGGTAGTGCCGTAGTTGATGGTAGTAACTGGTAGTGTCGTGGGTGATGATAGTTACTGGTAGTGCCGTGGTTCATGGTAATGACTAGTAGTGTCGTGGTTGATGGTAGTGAGTGGTATTGTCGTGGTAGATGGTAGTTACTGGTAGTGTCGTGGTTGATGGTACGACTGGTAGTTCGTGGTTAAGGGTGTCATGGTAGTGTGGGTGATGGTATTTAGGGTATGTCGGGGTTGCGGAGTGACGATGTTCGTGGTGATGGTATTTTACTGGTTACTGCGGGGTTGAGGGTGTGACGGGGGGAGTGTCGTGGTTAATTGAACTTAGGGTAGTGTCGTGGTTGGTGGTGTGAGGTATTTTGGGGTGATGGTTTTTGGGTACTGTCGTGGTTGATGGTTAGTGATATAATGTCGTTTTTGAAAGTGTGATGGTTTGTCGTGGCTGATGGTGGTTGGGGTGTGTCGTGGGAGGGTAGTTAGGGGTAGTGCCTTGGTTGATGGTGGGTGACTGGTAATGTCGTTGTTAAAGTAGTGATGGTAGGGGGTTTGGCTGATGGTATTTTGGTAGTGCCGTGGTGAGGGTTGTTACGGGTGTGCTTGGTTATGGTAGTGTTGTAGTGTCGGGGTTGATGGTAGTGACTGGATGTCGGGGTTGGGGTGTGCTGGTAGTTTTTGGGTTGAGGGTAGCTTTGGGTGGTCGGGGTTGATGTTAGTACTGGTAGTGTCGGGGTTTGATGGTAGTTACGATAGTGTTGGTTGTGGTAGTGACGGTAGTGTCGTGGTTGATAGTGACTGGTAGTGTCGTGGTTGATGGCAGTGACTGGTAGCGTCGTGGTTGATAGTGACTGGTAGTGTCGTGGTTGATGGCAGTGACTGGTAGCGTCGTGGTTGATAGTGACTGGTAGTGTCTTGGTTGATGGCAGTGACTGGTAGTGTCGTGGTTGATGGTAGTGACTGGTAGTGTCGAGGTTGATGGTAGTTACTGATAGTGTCGTGGTTCATGGTAGTGACTGCTAGTGTCGTGGTTGATAGTAGTGACTGGTAGTGTAGTGGTTGATGGTAGTGACTGGTAGTGTCGTGGTTGATAGTGACTGGTAGTGTCGTGGTTGATGGCAGTGACTGGTAGCGTCGTGGTTGATAGTGACTGGTAGTGTCGTGGTTGATGGCAGTGACTGGTAGCGTCGTGGTTGATAGTGACTGGTAGTGTCTTGGTTGATGGCAGTGACTGGTAGTGTCGTGGTTGATGGTAGTGACTGGTAGTGTCGTGGTTGATGGTGGTGATTGGTAGTGTCATGGTTAATGGTACTGACTGGTAGTGTCTTGGTTGTTGGTAGTGACTGGTACTATGGTGATTAATGGTAGTGACAGGTAGTGTCGTGGTTGATGATAGTGAGTGGCAGTGTCATGGTTGATGGTATCACTGGTAGTGTCGTTGTTGATAGTTGGTAGTGTCGTGGATGATGGTAGTTACTGGAAGTGCCGTGGTTGATGGTAGTGACTGGAGGTGTCGTGGTTGATGGTAGTGACTGGTAGTGTCGTGGTTGATGATAGTGAGTGGTAGTGTCATGGTTGACGGTAATGACTGGTAGTGTCGTTGTTGATGGTTGGTAGTGTGGTGGTTGATGGGGGTTACTATAGTGCCGTGGTTGATGGTAGTGACTGGAGGTGCCGTGGTTGATGGTAGAGACTGGAGGTGTCGTGGTTGATGGTAGTGACGGGTAGTGTCGTGGATGATGATAGTGAGTGGTAGTGTCATGGTTGACGGTAATGACTGATAGTGTCGTTGTTGATGGTTGGTAGTGTAGTGGTTGATGGTAGTGACTGGTAGTGCCTGTCGTTGTTGATGGTAGTGACTGGAGGTGTCGTGGTTGATGGCAGTGACTGGTAGTGTCGTGGTTGATGATAGTGAGTGGTAGTGTCATGGTTGTCGGTAGTGACTGATAGTGTCGTTGTTGATGGTTGGTAGTGTAGTGGTTGATGGTAGTGACTGGTAGTGCCTGTCGTTGTTGATGGTAGTGACTGGAGGTGTCGTGGTTGATGGCAGTGACTATTAGTGTCGTGGCTGATGATAGTGAGCGGCAGTGTCATGGTTGAGGGTAGTGACTAATAGTGTCGTTGTTGATGGTTGGTAGTGTGGTGGTTGATGGTAGTGACTGGTAGTGCCGTTGTTGATGGTTGGTAGTGTAGTGGTTGATGGTAGTTACTGGGGGTGTTGTTCTCGATTGCTGGAAGTGTCGTGGTTTATGGTAGTTACTGGTAGTGCCGTAGTTGATGGTAGTTACTGGTGGTGTCAAGAATGATAGTAGTTAGTGGTAGGCTCGTTGTTGATGTCTGGTAGTGTCGTGGTTTATGGTAGCTACTGGTAGTGTCGTGGTTGATGGTTGGTATTGTCGAGGTTGATGATAGTGCCTAGTAGTGTCGTGGTTGATGGTAGTGGCTGGTAATGCCGTGGTTGATGGAAGTGACTAGTAGTGTCATGGTTGATGGAAGTGACTGGTAGTGTCGTTGTTGATGGTTAATATTGTCGTGATTGATGGTTGGTAGTGTCATGGTGATAGTTGTGAGTAGTAGTGCGTGGATGATGATAGTGACTGGTAGTGTCATGGTTGACGGTAATGAATGATAGTGTCGTGGTTGATGGTAGTGACTAGTAGTGACGTGGTTGATGGTATCTACTGGTAGTATCGTGGTTGATGGTAGTTACTGGTAGTGTTGTGGTTGTGGTAGTGGCTGGTAGTGTCGTGGTTGATGATAGTGAGTGGTAGTGTCATGGTTGACGGTAATGATTGGTAGTGTCGTTGTTGATGGTTGGTAGTGTGGTGGTTGATGGTAGTTACTAGTAGTGCCGTGGTTGATGATAGTGACTGGAGGTGTCGTGGTTGATGGCAGTGACTGGTAGTGTCGTGGTTGATGATAGTGAGTGATAGTGTCA